TTTGGAAAATTGATGTGTTCTTCATTGTGCAACTTACTTATACTAGACCGTGTTTTGTCAGCTTCTTTGTTAGTTGGTGGTGTTTAAGTCTGGGGGCATTTTTTGCTTTTTCAGGATTAAATATCGAACCCAGGGAGCTTGCTTTGCTCTGCCAAAAGGTTTCGCTTCTGATGTTTGCAAGAGCACATAGGCACTCACTCACTGAGACACAATTCTTCTTCTACTACTACTTTATTTATTCTTTTTCTTTTTTTTTTTTGCTCTCTTTTTTTTTTGTTTGAATTTATTTATTTTGAATAATACCTAGCATCTGACAATATTTCAATCTGGAAGGTTGAGAATCATGTAGTTGGAGCTCCATGTGGAGTCATGGACCAGATGACTTCTTCATGCGGTGAGGCTAACAAACTTCTTGCCATGGTTTGCCAGGTAAAAACATTTCACACAAACTGAATTTACTCCGTGTTTTCAATTTCTATTACTTTTTCTAATGCTCCTTAATAATTGTGCAGCCTGCTGAGGTATTGGGTCTGGTAGATATTCCTAGTTACATCCGATTCTGGGGTATCGACTCAGGAATCCGGCACAGGTAGATCAGATATTGAGTGCTATTAATAGGATCACAATTATGTTTTCAGTTAAATTTTTCTTTGAAGATTAAGAGAAGCTCATATAAATATATATAATGATTAATGCAGTGTTGGGGGAGCGGATTATGGGTCTGTGAGGATAGGAGCCTTCATGGGCCGGAAAATTATAACATCCGTTGCGTCCGAACTTTTATCGCAATCTTGTGCAAATGGGGTAACTTCAGATGATCTCGAAGAGGATGGAATCGAACTTCTTGAGACTGAGGCCTCCTTGGACTATTTATGCAATTTATCGCCACATAGGTCAAAAATAGGCCTTTTTTTCCCACCCCAAGATTTTACCTGCCTTCTGAAATAAATTGAATGTTTCTTCTGCATATGAAGCTCAACAATTTTCCCTTTAACGTCAGATATGAAGCTCTTTACGTTAAACGGCTTCCCGAGACGATGCTTGGCGAGACATTCCTGGAGAAATATTCCGGCCACAGTGATCCCGTCACCATAATTGACAGCAAGAGAATTTACGGTCTCAGGGCAGCCACTAGACATCCTATCTACGAAAATTTCCGGGTCAAGGTAAAAAAACTGAAATATAATTCCATAACAAAATCTTGCAGTCCCCCATATGCATCATTTTATATTTAGTTGTAGTGTAGAAGTAATTTGAGCTTCTCATCGATATTAAAATATAATACTCGCAGGCCTTCAAAGCGCTACTCACATCGGCAACTTCAGACGAGCAATTCACCGCTCTAGGAGAATTGATGTATCAGGTGAGAATAAGTTTCGTTTACTTATTATGAAAATTTCAGTTTGATGGGAATTATGTTAGTGATAATATTTTCTTTACAGTGCCACTATAGTTACAGTGCTTGTGGGCTTGGGTCGGATGGGACAGACAGGCTGGTCCAGCTGGTGCAGGAAATGCAGCATAGCAAAATCTCGAGGTCGTCTGAAGGGACTTTGTATGGTGCCAAAATTACTGGTGGAGGATCGGGTGGGACTGTATGTGTAATCGGCAGGAATTGCTTGAGAAGCAGCGAGCAAATTCTTCAGGTAATTTAATTTGTAAAAACTTATATAAAGAGGTAAATATTGATCAAATAAACATTAGTTCCTCAGAATATATCTGTATGTTGTGAATGGATTGCCTTCCATTGTAATGGCAATACCTTGAGGTCTAATATAGAGGGCTAATACCTTGAGGTCTTGTTTGATGATGATGAAAGATAGAACTCTTTTATTCAATATAGTAGATATCATCATCCTGATTATTATTTATATTTCTCGATTTGAATATATACAGATACAGCAGAAGTACAAAGGTGCCACCGGTTACCTACCAATACTTTTTGAGGGATCATCCCCAGGTGCCGGCAAGTTTGGTCATCTCAGAATTCGTCGCCGGAGTTTGCCGCCAAAGCAAAAGTATTGATTTGTTGCCGTAGTAAATTTTATTATTAATCACTGACTGCATTGGTGATGGCTAATGCATTCAATAAATTCTACTATCTACGGTATTGTCAATTTGAATAGCAGTAGCAGTGGTACTGATGATAATAGTCGAAATGATTCAGTAACTTTGGACTTGCATTAACTAGAACTGCGTCGAAGGGAACAAAATAGGACAGAAATTGAGAAGAAGTTCACATATCCTTCTCTATATATAAATAAAGAGTTTTTTTTTTTTT